TTGGGGGTCTGTTTGTGTGTTTCCACAGGGAGAACAGCAGTCGATTTGGATTTCAGAAAGATTAACTAAAGCGATTTCTACAGACCAAAAAGATGATTTGGCTCAAATCCATAACAGCTGATATCCAAAACTCCAGTTTGGCTATCCTTACATCTGTGACAGAACCAGGATGCTTTTTTCAATATCTATTTTATTATTACCCTTTCCCACATCATGAAGTTCTATTTTGTTTTTTGAGCTCATACAGACCTAGGTTAATGTTTTGCTGATCAGTTCTATTTTTTGACTATAGAGTTTTTAAACATTGCAATGGAGATTTCACCTGTAAAAAGTTATAAGGCCTTTACTATTATGTTATGTGTTGTGTGCACACTTGTGTTTTATGTTGTATGTTTGTATGTACAAATGTCCATATATCATATATGATGAGCGCTCATGAAAAAAATGGATCCAAATATTTTTTTTTATTCACGTGATTTAAATGGTTTAATTTAAATTGGGTAAACAGCTGTTGAGGATTGTTTTAATATGGGAACAAAAAAGGAGGTTAACAGTTCTGTTTGTTTACTTTCACCTTTCCTTTTCATTATATTTAATAATTCTGTTCAAGATAATGTAAATTGTTCAGAAAATTGTTTTCTTTTAGTGCCTTCTGGAATGTTACATAATTTTTTTCTTTAGCCATTATTGCCAGAATTCCTATCTTCATCCCAGTGCTGGTGAAGACAAAGATAAAACCAATCTACAGCTTCTGCAATAGCCATCACTGAACTGCTTGCAGAACTTGCCTGGACTATGTATCACTTGTATGCATTGTGAACTATCTGTTGGTGCAGCGACTTGTGGTAGTGTTGGGGTATTTTTGCTGATGGTGTCATCGGTGGTACAATTTTTCCAAAAGGAGCCGTCAATTGGCTTGGTGTATCCTCCTCCCTTCTGCTTGTGATGGTCGTTCAGCTAAAATTTGGGGGCCAACAGAGGTGAGGCAAAGAACCTCACCCCCCTGCTGGTACAAAGACCTATCCACAGGTGTGGCTGTATGCTGGACCAGTAGTCAATGACGGGTAAGATCCAATTTCAATGGTACCAACCTAAGACAGGAGGCTGACGCCTTAAGGTCAGCTCATCCGATAATGGGTAAGGACCATATGTAGTATTGGACAACCTAAGGCAGGCACGGTCCCTAAGCCACATGCTTGTTGTTTAAACAGAGAGGGGGAGATGTTGAGAGCCACAGCTGAAAGGGGCCCCAGGAAACTTCCAGCTGCCAGCTGATGATTGGCTCACAGCGGCCCCAGCAAACTTCTAGCTGCCAACTGATTGGCTCCTCTGCGGTGATGCTCATTTGGCTGTTTCCCTACCCTTTCAGACCACGGAGCTGCTCATTGGGGGACTTTTTTTGGCTTCGCCCACACGACGCAGCCAATCAGCCTCAAGAGCAGGAGGAGTGGGGGAGGTTGAGAGGCTTGTGGGAAGCCAGTGGTGGCAGTTGGGCTCTGAAGGTTTTCCTGAAGAGCTCCTGTGGTGTGGCGTGTGTGTTCTAAAAATAAAGTTCGTTTCTTTTGACAAGTGGCTCCTGAATTGTGCCCAGCCAGACTGCGGCAGTCCAGGAGTGAAGCACATTGCAAGCAGAGGGAGCAGCGTAGCTGAGGACCTGGTGCAGGGAGAACAGGGTGCCTTCCAAAACTGGAGGAATTCAGTGTACAGGGAGAGCCTGTGACATGGGGCCTGTGCCTGCTGATCTGCCCTTCTCTTCAGAGAACACCCCATGTTCATTTGTTATAGAGCAACAGAAAACTAATCTAGTCACCATGTCCTAACATTGACAGAAATGTTCCCCTCTCTGCTTTGCTTTCCTGTTCTGTCCTTCCTTTGTCTCTGACTCTCTCATCTTTTAACTTTATCTCTTCTCCCATTTTTATGTTGTACCCAGAAAACTGACTGCCAAATCACTGTTTTTTTTTTTGGCTACTGGGGATTGGACCTAGGCACTTTACCACTGAGCCATACCCCGAGTCCTTTTAATTTGTTTTAAATTTTGAGACAGGGTCTCGTTAAGCTGTTGAAGCTGGTCTTGAACTTGCAATCCTCCTGCATCAGCCTCCCAAGTCACTGGGATTCCAGGTGTGCACCCACCATGTCAAGCCTGACTGCCAAATCAGTCTTTGGCTCAAGTCACAGATCAGATGCACCAGCTCCATGGCCTTGGATAAGTCCCTTTACCTTCAGACCCTCAATGTCCTGATTTGTGAAGGGAAATAATTAAAAGATTGTCATGAGGATTAAAAGAGAAAGGTCCCTAAGTGTCTAGCCAGAGTTTGAGTCTGCAGTAAGCAGGGCAAAATGTCCTGGGACTAGGGCAGCTCTGGGACCTAACAGAAGACTACTCCAAGTTGGAAGCCCTGAGGGGCCAGGCAGGAGTATTTGGCTTTCATTCATTCACTTGGCAACAATTTGCTGTATCACATGCCAGGTTCTGGAGAAACAGGACTCAGCCATGGTCCCTGCCTTCTTGGTGCAGCCTGGATTCTAGGAACATTGCCCTTTCTGCTCCAGTAGTGAGGGTGGCTCTGCAGTGTGCCTGTCTTCTCTTACCAAACCATGAACATTTCCGGAGCAGCTGACCAAGGTCATTTCTGTCTGGATGGCCTGGATCACAGGCTGGATGGTGTATGGGCAGGTCAAAAGAAATTACTGGAAGGTAGTGTGGAGAACAACTGGTTTAACAACCTCTTACTATACAGAAGGGGAAACTGAGGTCTAGAAAACAAGAGTGTTTGCTCAAGTAACAGCAGGATGCAGCTAGCACACCTCACCCACAAAGTGCTAATTGATGGGGTAAAGCTTTGTTGTAGAGGTTTGCCCAGGTTTGAGGCTATAGATTTTATCTCTAGAATTGCAAAAAAAGCTAACTACCTATGAAGAAGACAAGCCCAGACACACAAAACTTAACTGGAGGCGGGACATGCAGCATGGCAGGGGAATTCCAGAAAGATTCATGGAGGCAGAAAGGAAGGGACAGGACCTTCTGGACACAGCTGGAACAAAACACAGAGACAGGAAAGCTTTAAATGAGCCCATTGGAGCCAGGTGTGGTGGTTCACACTGCAATCCCAGCAACTCAGGAGGCTAAGGCAGGAGGATCTCAAGTTCAACGTCAGCCATGACAACTTAGCAACACCCTGTCTCAAAATGAAAATAAAAAGATTGAGGAAAAAGGGTTGTGGATGTAGCTAAGTAGTAGGGTGCCCCTGGGTTCAATCCCCAGTACTCTCCCTCCCTCACACAAAGGCACACACAAGGTTAAAAAAAAAAAAAAAAAAGAACCATGAAGGAAGATGGAAAGACCAGGCTGGGGCAGAGAACCTTGAATGCCCAGGTAAGGATTGGAGTAGAATTACTCCATGAACTATAAAGAATAAACCTGCTAAAGAAGGATGAAGAACTGTGAACCAGCCACTCCCATTTTCCAGGACAACAAGTACAATGTGGCAATGCTCTGGTGCCATCTGCCCCAGTGAAGACAGAGCTGTGGCTTCTAACAAGAACACCAAATGACTCTTGAGTCATTTTCTGGGTAGTTCTCCTATGTGTGATTTCTTCCTCACATCTCCTCCATGACTTTTTCCTTGGCTTCATTTTCTCCTCTGTCCCTGACTTTCACCCTCCTATAAGCCCTCTGGCAGGGGCAAAGGCTTAATCGACTGATTCTTGTTATTTGCTTCTAGATGGAAGGATTCCAATATTTACATGTGAGTCCAAAAATCCAACTTACTGATGTACAAATCTGTTTGATGAATCAATGAGTAACTGGAAGAATCAGTGATGACCTCATGGTTCAGAACAAACAGACTTTGTAATCAGACCTGATTCTAATTGCTAAATCCTCTATGCCTCATTTTTGTTTTGTTTTGTGCAGGTCTGGGGATGAACCTAGAGCCTCGTGCATGCCAGGCAAAAGTTCTAACACTTAAGTCACATCCCCAACCCCAAAATTTTGTAATTGGATAGTGGGGAAAAGAATAAAAAATATCTCAAGGCAAGCACTGTTGCCAGTCTGTCAGTGAACCAAGCATGAGAATATGGGGTATTTCTAAGGTCCAGCAATCCTACCTCGTCAAAAAGTTGATTCAGTGGGACGCTGGTGGCCCTTGTGTCTATCAAAAGTGGCGGATGCACATAAGGAATAGTGCACAACAGCAAGGAACTAGATTTATGTGGGAAAATAGCTTTTTAAAACAGTGTCAGGGCATAAATAAGAAATACGAGATGTATAATGTACTGCTAATGGCACAGATTAAAACTCAGACACAAATAGTTCATCAAATGTCGGTGGAAGGGGATGAGATTAAAGAGAAGCAAAGCCACCACAAGGATCTCACCCGGATGGCTCAGCGCAGCGAACTAAGGACAACGGTCAGCTCACGGAATGCACCCGAAACAAACACACAAAACCCGAACACAACATGCAATCAACGGTGGTATCTGCTAACAACCTGTTAACTTTCAGAGGGAAGCAAAAGTTTGAAGAATAAGCGCGCAGGGAAAACATGCGACCTGTCCCTGCACCTCCCTTCCCCGAGTCCCCGCACGCCGAGCGGGATTGGCTCCGCCGTCTCCGCCCCCCGGAACCTTGCCAGGATCTTTGGCTGGAAAAAACGATCCAGTATTTTAACCCAGTGCTATCCCTAAGCGACTCTTCCCCCCTCTCACAGAGGCTGAGGTCATCAAGTGGGGAGTTGAGGAGACCGACAAAGTCCCATCCCAGTGAAATCCGGGCATCCTCCTCGCCGGCCTTGAGCCACTAAGAGAACCTGGACTGGGAGGCAGGCAATTTGAGATCCAGTCCTCAAAAGCACTGAGCCCACAGGCCTTAGTAGTCTTCCCGCGAGCCGCGGGTGCGCGGGACGTCGCTTTGGCTTTTGCAGCTCGGGGATCGTCTGTCTCAGTCCGGCCGAGCCCGGCCGACTCCTGGGCGCGCGCTCGGACGCCGCTTTTACCTTGGTCGGGACCCGCCAGGGCGCGCACTTGGATTTCATGGCCCCCTGAAGTCCCATCGGAGGTGCAGCCGCGGACCCCAAGGGGCCTCCAAGGGCGCAGGAGCGTCAGAGCGCGCAGCATAGCGCGGGCTGGGAAGGTGCTACTTGGCTCCGCAGTTGCCTGGGCTCCGCGGAAGACGCGCAGTTCCGGCGGCGGGCGAGGCCTTGCAAACTGCTCCACCTACGGGCCGACGCAGCGCCCCTGTCCTTAGCCCAGGGTGGTGGTGGAAAAGCTCTGCACCTCCTTGTGATTGGGGGCAAAGCTTTTGTCTGTGCTTTGATTCGAAAAACAGGAATAGCGACAGTGACTACCTCGTGGTGGCATGGAGATTGAATGGGATGTGTGACCTTTGTTTACACATATATGCAATAGATATGCTTTCATTTAAAATATGTCATTCATTAGTCGAGCATTGTCTACATTCACTTACTTCCCTGAGTCGCCTCCCGTTTGTGCCTCAAATATAATGGAGGGTGACAGTGAGGCCAGTGCCTCACCTCTCACTAAATGTAATGCTCCTTCCAATTTAATGCTCAATAAATTGGCTCACAAAAATATTAGTGAATTGCTAGCTTCTGTCTCCCGTTGTCCACCCAAACTCCCTTTACAGACTCTAGCAGGGCGGTGTTTGGCTCCCATGTAGTGGAACACTCAAGAGTGTTCAGTGAATATGCTTCCTGTCCCCTCATTTCCTACCCTTTATTTGTTGAAGACCCCAAAGCCACCAACAGTTCTGTCCTATGCTGTACTGTTAGGTGATCTAAAAATTCTCTTTCAAGTCCCTGCTATTTGGGGGGTCTCTTTGTCACCAATTAATACAGCCTCTTTAACAAAAATAAGATTACTGGTTTTTTGTTTGTTTGTTTTTGGTACTGGGGGGATTGAACTCAGGGGCACTCAGGGCCCTCAACCACTGAGCCACAAACAGGGTCTCACTGAGTTGCTTAGTGCCTTGCCATTGCTGAGGCTGGCTTTGAACTCATGATCTTCCTGCCTTAGCCTCCCTAGCCGCTGGGATTATAGGTGTGCGCCCACCACAACCAGCGGGATTACTATTGTTTTGAGTCCTGGGCGAACAACCAACCAGAGATATTTTGGTTACAAGTACCAATTACAAGTGAAAGCTACCTAAACTGGCTTAAGTAAGAGAGTTTTAGTACCAGGGTACAATGAGCAGAATGGGCAGTTGGAAATGTCCTGGTTTGGGCTGCTATGCCAAGCATACTATGGGATGGGTGGTTTAAACAACAAATACTTCTTTCTCAGTCTGGCAAGCTAGAAAGTCTCAGAGCCAGGCACTACCAGTCCCAGTGTTGAGAGGGCTTGCTTCAGGTTTTACCACCATTTTCTCTCTGTGGCCTCATATGGCAGACAGCAGAGAGGGTTGAACTCAAGCTCTTCTGTCTTTTACGAGGGCATATTCCTATTCATGAGGGTTCCATCCTCACAAACTAATTACCTCCCTGAGTCTCTATCTTCTGTCACCACAGTTGGGTTTAGGCTTCAATACATGAATTGTCAGGGTGTCGGGGGTAGATATTCAGTCCATAAAAGGAGCCAGATGCCTCCTTTCTGGAGGTGCATGGTCTGACCCTGCTGCTTCTCCTGGGCTCCTTTCATACTGAAGCTTCCTTAACTCTCCATGGCTTTTTTTTTTTTTTTTTTTTGCCAGAGATTGAACCCAGGGGCACTTAACCACTGAGCCACACCTCCAGCCCTTTTAAATATTTTATTTAGAGACAGATCTCATAAGTTGCTTAGCACCCCACTAAGTTGCTGAGACTGGCCTTGAACTTGAGATCCTCCTGCTTCAGCCTCCTGAGCCACTGTGATTACAGGTATATACACCACTACACCTGGCTTCTTCTCTCCGTGGTTTTTGAATTTAAGCATTTACCATTATCAAGCAACACAGATCAGTCTAAATCCATATTCCAAGAGTTTTTGGTGGGCCTGCATTGCCCAGGCACCCATTTGGGGTTCAGCTAGGAGATGGAGGCTGCATGTGGTTAAATATGATCACTAGGGCTGCAGAGAGAACATCCCCTAGGGAAAGAATTAGGTCAGCCCCTCCACATTGATATGGAGCCAGGTGGGGGAGAAAATAAGTTTCTTTTGGAACATGATGCTTTTGAATGATGCTGACCTCAGAGGAAATGGTTTGTGAGAGGCAGACAACAGCAGATAAGAGAGCCCAACAGAGGAGCCTGCAGTTCAGGATTGGGAATATAGGGCTTAAACTTTGAGTTGGAACAAGGTCTGCAGCCTGAACACTAGAAAATACTTGCTTCAAGACATTTATCACTATTAGAAAATAACTTATTTTTGTTTTCTTCACTAAAATAAAATTTCCATTAGAACATGGACTTTGTTTTCTTCACTGCCAAGCACATAGCAGTCACTCAATAAATATTTACTGAATGAATGAGTGCCAGGCTCTGTTCTGAGGGCAAGGGTTGGGCTATTGTCCCCTTTCCCAAAGGATTACCCTATTTTGAGGAGTTCAGCCAGGTGGGCCTGGACACCTGCTAGGGTTGGAAGAGAGGCTGGGGGTATGGGAAGAACTTGGCTGTGAATGGCCAGGCACATATCTGGGATGGTGAGGGTGGATAGTGTCTTTCTGTTGCCTGTTTACTGGATCATATATGAGGGTTAAAACAGAATATGATTAAATCTTCTTTCTGTTTCCACATTTCATGTATTCTTTATGGCTAGAGCATTCTCAGATGAGACGAGGATGGACAATTGAGTCAGTGTACAGAGACCTCCTTGACTCTCAGGACTGAGACTACCCCACCAAGCTAGACTAGGGATGCTTGCACTAGCTGTTGGCCTAAAGAATGTGAAGGAAGGGAGAAGGAGATCAGAAGAAGGCATGGGGCAAAAAGGAGTTAGAGAACTAGAAGTAGGAAATGGAGAAATAAAGAGAAAAGACAGAGGGGACACATTTAAGGAAGAAATAATACCTGTTATCCATAGTCATTTCCAGATAATAGAATGCAATACTTCATAATCCATTCTCTGAGGCCAGCATTATCTTAATACCAAATCAGATTAAGACATTATATGAGAGGAACATTATGGACTAATATCTCTTATGAACACTGGCCAAAAAAATCCTTGACAAAACATTAGCAAATAAAATCCAACGATTGTTGGATTATTATTATATTATTATAACCATGTCCTAATGCAATTTATAAATGCAATTTATTTCAAATATCCAAAGCTGGCTCATTTTTTTTTTTTCCAGTGCTGGTGATAAAGCATAGGGCTTTGTGTGTGCGCCAGGCAAATGCTTTCCCACAGAGCTACATCCCTCAGCCCTCTGGTTCAATGGTTTAACTTTTGGAAATCAATGTAGTCTGCTATATCAACAAGCTAAAGAAAAAACATCTGATCATATTGTTGACTGATGCAAAAGCATTTGACAAGGATACCTGGTGTGGTGGTGCACAGTGAAAATCCTAGCAGCTGAGGAGGCTGAAACAGGAGGATTGAGAGTTCAAAGCCAGCCTCAGCAAAGCTAAGTGCTAAGCAACTCAGTGAGATCCTGTCTTTAAATAAAATATAAAAAGGGCTGGGATGTAGCTCAGTGGTTGACTGCTCCTGGGTTCAATCCCCAGTACCAAAAAAAAAAAAAAAAAAAATTGACAAGGAAAAAAGAATTCTGGAAGATGGCAGAGTAGGAAGCAGAAGGAGTCTGTCTCCTTATCCGAACAACAATTACACTTGGCAGAATTGGTATGAAGTACCTATTTTGGAACTCTTATAGTCTGTTGAAAACTTGAAACTCCTAGGGGAAGGTATAGACCATAAATGTAGTTGGTTTTAGTCAATTTTAAAAATTTTTAAATTTTTTGTAGTTATAGATAGACAGCATATCTTTATTTTGTTTATTTTTCTGTGGTGTTGAGGATCGAACCCAGTGCCTCACATGCAAGGCAAATACTCTGTCACTGAGCCACAACCTCAGCCCCTTAGCCCTTTTAAATATTTTATTTAGAGACAGCGTCTCGCCGAGTTGACAGGACCTTGCTAAATTGGTGAGGCTGGCTTTGAACTTGAGATCCTCCTGCCTTAGCTTCCCAACTGCTGGGATTACAGGCATGTGCCACTGCACCCAGCCTGGATTCCTAGGATTTTAAATGAACTTCCAGGGTTCCTGTTTACCTGAAAGCTTTGGAACCTCCAGGGAAAATCAAAGGAAAATTTGGGGTTGAAGGCAAAAATGAAATTTGTGTCTTTTCACGTTCACCAATCCTGGGAATAATCAGGATCAGGAAGGAGAATGGCATAATTATTAGTAGGAGTTAAAATCATGAGTTTTGCTATCAGTCAACTTTGGCCCAAACCTTCTTGGCTCCAATGCTTGTTAACAGGCCCAAATCTGGTCTTTTGCTGCTCAAAAGTCAATGCTCGGGAGACATGAGCTGGTGGAAAGGAAATCAGTTTTATTGAACAGGTGGCCTGAGATAACCAAACGGAGGGGCTATTGTCTTCAAAGCCCCATCTTAGGGAACTCAGGGACACAAAGGGCTTTTATAGAGGGAAAGGAAGGGGAGGGGCAGAAAGACTATGTGCTGAGGTGCACATCCAGGCTCCGTAACTGTATTTGTCATTCAAGGGGGTATTTTTCTTTTTTTTGCTGGAACATCCTTGAGATTAATAACTGACCTTCACTTCCTAGGCTGGCTTTTGAAAACAAATTTTTAAACAAACACATTATTTCCCTGCAAGTTAAACATGATTCCACTTTTAATTAAAGAACAATATGAGCAAGTCCTTGGCCCACATTTTTATGTTATCTGAGGACTGCCAGGTGTCTGTCCTGGGTTCTGTAAATCCAGAGAAAAGTGAATGATCAGTAAGTTTTTTGTTTTTTTTTTTAAAGAGAGAGAGAGAGAGAGAGAGAGAGAGAGAGAGAGAGAGAGAGAAAATTTCAACATTTATTTTTTCGTTTTCGGCAGACACAACATCTTTGTTTGTATGTGGTACTGGGGATCCAACCCAGGCCGCATGCATGCCAGGTGAGCGCGCTACCGCTTGAGCCACATCCCCAGCCCAGTAAGTTTAATTGTGTGTTTCATTTGAGT